TTCTGGGTTCAGCTGATTTCTCTGCTCCTCCATTTCAGCTCTCAGTAACAACGACTGTCTGAGTTTCACTTCCTCATAAACAGAACCAGGGTGTGTGCAGTGAACATGGGGCTGGCTCCTCCTATTGGTCCTCATCCACTCATACTCCAGACCAGAAAATATGAGGTCAGACTGGAGCTAACTGTGATTCAACAGGGAGGGTAATTACAGGAGATTCATTCCAGGCGAAGGTGGAGCAGGAGTAGAGAAGCAGGACAAAGAACTTCACTTAATAATCTCAAAGGGAGGAGCTGAGTGTAAAATTAGTTGTTCTTATGTTGAAGGACAAGTTCAACAAAGAAAAAAAACCCATCTGTCACGACAACAAACACCTGAACGTTAGAGCTAACAGCTCTTTGAACCAGACCAGTCATATTCATCAATAAGATCTGCAATAAACAACAAAAAAGAAATCACTTCCTGCTGTTGCTCGATAGTTGACGACGAGGAACTCGTTTGTTCGTCACCTCACTGGGAAATTTGTAAAACAAAGTTTAAAAGAAAAAAAAAAGAATAATCATATTTTAACCTGGTGTGCTCAAGACTGATGGAGAAATTACCAGACACAGTCACACCCCCATTCACACCCACCTTCTTACCCCATACCCATCCATATACTCACACACAAGATCAGTTGAAGTAAATCATAAGTCCAGTTATTAAGAATTTTCTTTTCTTGTGCAGCATAAATTCACAAAAAGTTAGAATTAAAATTGAATAAAATAAGAAATCAAAATTCTGAACTTCTGTAACATAAAGACAGATACTACACAGAATTGGCTGCTCCGTAGAGGATGGTGTGAAGACTGGAACATGGTAGTAGGTCAATGGATTCCCACAATGTCAGATAAAAATGTGTACAGAGACAAAGACATTTGGAATCAATTGAAAATCCATTGTGATTTTTCCAACACCCAAAATCCAATCACTATGTCCCTGAATTGGACTGAATTACCAACGAAGAGTAACTGGAAACTCTCTGGTAAAACAAATCAAACTGAAATATTGTTGGTCCTTAGAGTACAGCAGATCAGACTGGAGTAGATCTAATTGATTCATTAGAGCAGTAATTAGGAATGAAATAGCGAAACATGACACAACTTTGTTGACACCTGTAACTCAATCTTCCCACCAATTTCTAATAAAACCAAAACAGGAGCATTTACTCCTCATAAATACTTCAGTGGATGGATATTTTCTTACAGCCCTAAAAATGAAGTATAAAGACCAATAAATACACGTCTCGGTCACATGTGAAAGAGAAAGTCTTTTTTTATTATGGCCTCACTAACATGGAGGTTCTGCGTTCCTCTTCCTGTTCCAGTTTCATTGCCAATGTTTTTTTTTTTTTGCAGTAAGTGATTTTGTCCGACACTGGAACTCATTTGTCATCGAACAGTTAAAGGCTGCTCAGTGAGAAGGAACAGATTCAGATCACGCTCCAGGGCAGTCAGAAAAAGACGAAGAACAGCTGACATTGAAATTGGTCAGTGTGTCTGGTCAGAGCGTGGAAGGCTGTTCTCAGACTGACGTCTTTTAGTCGGAGGGAAATCAACGGTCTGATATGAAATATGGGCCGCACGGTGGAGAGCGGTAAGTCCTCTTGCTTTACATGAGCCAAAAAACTACAGTCGTCAGGTGAGAGCAGATTGAAGACGGTTTGTTGAATGTGCACTAATAAGTCCCACGCTCCCTGGGTTTAGCCACAAAGTGTGAGCTCATCGGAGAGCTGGGACCAATCAGAGCAGTCGTCAGCCATGGGGCAGCGTTGCACTCTGGGTAGTTCTCCACTTCATCACAGGGTCATATGTAGAGACAAACAACCATTCACACCACCATTCACACCAATGATCAGTTGACCCTAATCCCCACCGGGGCTTCGAACCAGTGACCTCCCTCCCTTAAGGCATGAGCACTGACCGTCCCTCCACCACATAATTGTACGAAACATGTTCCTCTTCCTGTAGTGAACGGTCGGTGCTGACTGTTCCGGTCTGGTCGGTTATTTTCAATGGTTTATAAATAACTGTGATTTCATTCCTCAGTGATGAGGACAAAAGACGTGTCTCGGTGAGTCCACGCTCAACAGCAGTGGGAACGCCTCTGTCCAGATTCAGTCTTAGTTTGTTCATTTACAGCTGGATAATTGTCTTCCTGTTCTTTTCACACACTGCCAACTCCACTGCATAGTTCACTCTGCCATCGTTCTTCTAATTCCCCATGTTGCCCCTCCCGCTCATGTCTCATTCACCTCTAGGAACCGTCTGACCTGACCCTTACATCACTTTTTCTCACTTCCTCTTCCTACCTTCTTTTCCTGTTGATGCCCTCGTGACATTGTGAATGCAGTCGAGTTGAGATATGCTACAACAATCATGTGTTACCCTTACATACACCAAGATCTGTCTCTCACCCTCCCCCTTTTTGTGAAACAGTACATACAGTAAATGGAACATACCTATGTTACCTGGTGAAAAGCAGAACACTTCTGTCATTGATCTGAAGAATTTACGCAGGCCGAGATCTGAGTGTTTGCCCAGGGAGACAGAGAGGAATGTGAAGTGATATTGAAACAGTGACAGGGATTACGTAAGACATTCCTGACACACGCATGTGTAGCAGCATGGCTCTAAACAAGTATGATAAACAACATTTCAGAATCTTGTGCAGCCATAGAAGAACAAGTACAAATATGTTGGTTTCAGAAGTAACAATAATACTTGTGATTGGCAGCTGGGCTGTCCAGTAAGAGCCTGGTACAGTACAGTAGTACAAATAGTTTAAGAAACATAGAAACAAATTAGCAAAGCAATACAAAAATAGCTTAAAATTTGCTTTTAATTTGCTTTTGCTTTTAGAATTTTTGTTAAAATAGAGACGTCGGTGATGCAGCAAAATAAAAAAGATGGCTAAATGTTGGACCCAAAAATAATTTTGGATGTAGCAAAACTAGCTGAACAGTGGAAAGTTCAGTGAAGGGCTGTAGTAGGTGAAGTATCTGATTACCATTCCCAGTCAAAGCAGTATGCAGATCAGGTAGCTATTAGGCCCAGTCATTGCCATGACAGTCCTTTTTGTTTTGGAAATGAACCATGGGTCACCGTACTCGCTGCACGTAATCTCTCTGCTTCTTCGTGTCATACATTCTTCAATGTCTTCATCATCTGAAAGTGGAGTTGCTGTATCAACACACTCTCGGTTCCTATGTCTGTTTGATACTATTGTCTCATTGTCCTCAGCTCTGACAGATATAGTTTTTTTTTTTTTTTCCTTACTTGATTGTAGTTTGTTATCCTGAACCATTGCTTCTGCTTTTAATTGTTTTAGTTCTATTCCCTTGTTTCTCGCAAAAGCTTGTTGAAGCAAACATTCGGCCACACTCAGCCCAAGCTTCTCTTGGTTTTTTTTCTTTTGCCTCTGTTTTTATGGGAAGCACAAGCTCTTTGCAGTCTTCCTGTGTTAATTTTCCTTTAAAACCATACTGTTCCTGCCAATTATTGAAATGTTTACATTTGAATTTGACTAAATCTAAATTGTACCTAGACATATACTTAACATCCCCTTTAAACTCCGGAGTATCTGTCTTTTTGTTACATAAGTTTTGATTTCTTATTTTATTCAATTTTAATTTTAACTTTTTGTTATTTTACGCCGCACAAAATACCCAATAAAAATTGGATCACAATTCCTCCTGTAGGTGTAGTGGGTCGAGTGCTGCTTAGGAGCACTCGGTGTTATTAACCAGTCTCAAATTAACAACACGATCAGTCTCGTTAAAGTTATCTTTAATTGTTACGTTAACCTACTAATATAGCAATAGTGTATTACTTGGAGTATTACACGTATACTACAATCAATAGTATTCAATAACAATTAAATATCTGAAGGATTTTTAGATTTTTTTCCTTCCTCTTTACTTTAGTTTAAACCTTGGACAAGTGATATGGTGGATTTCTATACATTGCCCTGTGATTTGCTGATATCCTGTCGCAGACAACAACGCTGTTCACCTCATACAACATGGCTTCAGCTACATCTCTGACTCTTAAACAGGTGTTGAGGGGATGATTAAAAATATGGTGTTGAAGGAATGACATAAATGGCATGAAATCCTTATTGTTTCCTTAGGAAAATTTGTCACAGCCTCAATGCTGCTCTAAATCTTTCTACTGTCACAACAACATCACAAACGCAGTTGCCAAATACGCATTTAATTACAACATCAAACACATCACGCACAAGCCTTGTTAAAACAAATTACAATTTACATAATGACATCATTTTCTAATGGAGGCTTTACAAACATTTACAATTTCAGACTTTAAATGATCTCTACAAGTTAATAATCAATGGTCAATGCATATGTGACTTCTCTGAGGCATCCTATAAGTACTTACAATGCAGAACATTTAAATACCATGTATCCAATCATTTATAAAGCAGTGCAAAAAGCCCAATTATATCATACTTATATATGTGGGTATGTATGCATATATATAAATATTATTATTATTATATATACAATGTTATATCTATAATGTGTATACATAGCTAGGCACAGTAAAATAAATAAATAACTTAAATAAATCGATTAATTACAAACACATAGGCTTAAACATATAGACCTCAATATATATGTAGACATAGACATTTTTTTTTATACATTTTCCATCTGTACTTAGACATTCTGTGCACATGAATGTGATGCAACAGCTGCCACGAGATGTGTTGGTCATTTACATTTTAATCTTTATTTGACACCATATGAATGTGATGCAACAGCTGCCACAAGATGTGTTGGTTATTTACATTTTAATCTTTATTTGACAGAAAGAAAGAGGCGTTGGTCAAATGTGAATAAGTAAATTATGGTTTTAAAAAACTAATTTCTCTATTAGCATTAGAAAACTACTCTGGAGTCCACTTCTCCCCTGTCTTCCTCCTTTGGCGGTTTATGCTCAAGTGTTGGGCTTCAAATGCAAACAGGTTTTTTTTTTTTTGGATCTAACAAATACGCCTGTACTGGCACAAAGCGTTTTAAATGCAGAACACCACATTTCAATTACAACAACTGCTTTTTTTTAAATAATTTTTTTTTTTTGCTTTTTAAAAAAAATTGTGCATTGTTTACTTTGCAAATACCTTTGGCTAACGTACAACCATTCCACCTTGAAAATCTATAATTAAAACACACCACAATTGAAAGGAACTACAATTTTTAAAACCCAATACACATAACACAATTATCAACGCATTGATCAAGTTATAACATCAAGGAGGAGTATAGGCATGTAACCTTAAAATTCTTACAAAAAAAAGCCACCAAATGTTTCGCATTTATCACAAAACCTCAAATTTGTTTAAAGCGGGTGGTATTGTAACTGAAAAAACATTTGACTCTCCTGACTGTTCCATGGCTTTTAACTTTGTCTCCAGCAGTGCGATTTTTAGATTTGCTTTTTGCTTGATTTCCTCGGTTTTTTGAGGTAATGATTTGAATAGCTCATCTCTTTCCGCCTGAAGCTTCATGAATTTCTGTTTCAGTGCCTCGTACTCCCTTTTCCGATCATTCAGCTGTTTTTCTTTGAACTTTAGACAGACATCAGAATGGATACTCTTCATAATCTTGACTTTGTTCTCCTGTTCGACAATTTTCCCCTTGACGCTGGAGAGACGCTCGGCAAGACTTTTGTTGTTGTCCAACAGCGACTTTTTCACATTATTTTTATGTTTGAGTGTCGTATTCATTTCCTCAATATTTGCCTTGAGTGACTTACAGCTGTCCAGTGTAGGCTGAGTGTCCCGAATACTCCCCATAATAGCTCTGAGAGCATTGTTGTGATCCTCTATGAGAGCAGCGATGTGTCCCTTCCACTGTTCATTAAGGTCATTGAGCTCTTTTATCCTTGTCGGCTCCATCTCCTTCAACTGTAACTTTATCTCATCAGCCACCCGAATTTCTACACGTTGCTCCTCAAATCTATTTTGTGCAATAATCATTTTCTCCTTATGTTTTTGATCAAGTTCCTTAATGATCCTCTCGTGATCGGCTTTTACCCTTTTCATGGTGGCCTTCATTTCATTCTTCAACTCGGTCTCCAGCTGTTTTTGCTCCCTCTGTCGTTGTTCAGTGGCCAGAGAAAAATCTGCCCGTAACTTTGCAATTGCTTTGCGCTGTTCGTGTAGCAGATACGTTTCCTTCTGCATGTACATCTCAAGCTGTGCTTGGTGGCGTAACTCATCTTCTTCCATTTCCTTGTCTGCATTTTTAAGCTCAACTTTAATTCTCCGTAATTCTCTCTCTGTCACTTCTAAAGTGGTGTGAATTTTGTCCCTCTCCAGCTGGAAGTGGTTTTTGTCCTTCCTCTCTTTATCAAGTTCATTCCGGAGCTGCACGACATCTTCTCTCAGCTCATCTAAGGACACCTCCGGAACATCAGCTGCAGGCTTTTTTCCTGCGGCTTTCTTTTTGGGAGGCATGGTATTGTATTACAGATCACATAAAAAAGAGATTAATTAAATTTTCAATATTGCCTACTGTAGTGTGTTGGCAGTGATGTTACACAGCAGTAGCAAAGTATGATTTCTGCCATTTCTGTTCCAATCACAAAGCCTTGAAAACTGTGTAACCTTAGACTCTGGAATTTTGTAGTTCAAAGGTATGAAAGGAATGACATCATATGCTGGTGATGATGTAACAATGGCATGTGCACCCATATAACACAGATAAAGCAAAAGATGCAATGTCAACGGGTTGTGCTTCTTATACTCAGTGGACAATATGGCAAGAAACTTTCTCTGTTAGATAAGACTGTAAAATATGCTGTTAGTTCATACCCCAGTTTCCTAACACCAAGAAATAAAATAAAGATCAAATAAAGATCTGATCAAATAAAGAATCAAATACGAGATCTCAAGTTTTAAAAGTTTTACTTGCAAGCAAGGAGTGCAGAACAATGGTTACATTCAGAACTGCACTGAGGAAGTTTTTTTTTTTACACACTTCAATGGTCATCACCTTGGCGTTTCAAAGCCATGTTCAGAACTGCACTGAGGAAGTTTTTTTTTACACACTTCAATGATCATCACCTTGGCGTTTCACAGCCATGTTGTGTTCACGACCCACTTCTGCTGAGTGCTGATTGGCAAAAGCTGTTCCAAACAAAGATTCTCCACCAATAGGAGCCATGTGCTCCTGCAGTTAATCAAGTCAAATACGATCATGACAAACAAAGATTCTCCACCAATAGGAGCCATGTGCTCCTGCAGTTAATCAAGTCAGATAAGATCATGCAGTTCGTATGTTTTTCTCTCTTTGTCATTTGTTGGTCTTCTGTCGGTCTTATTTGGGCAAAGAAACTAGTTCTGGCCGGTTCTGTGTCCTGTCTCTATCTCCAAGTGTAACAGTCGGTACCAGTCAGTGCTGTCCATACCATCCTGTTATGTAAACCATCAGCATGCACGCCTTTCTTCAGCATTTCTCCTTTTAGTACAGCATTTAAAAACAGTATAAAATTATATGGAAACTTAATATAATGAATATATTGTAAAGATTGAATAAATGTATTTACAACATTTTAACAAAAAACAACAATCCCTTTGAGAATGTGGGAATGGATTGTTTCTCATTCAATGAAATCAAATAAAAGAGGGCGAAGAAGAGGAATTTCATAAAGTCTTTGTGGAGTACATTTATTGGATATGTATTTATTCTACTTCATGTGTCTTTATAATAATGATAATAATATAAAAAGAAAGAGAGATGCCCTGTTTAATCCATGGTACTGCAGTTTGATTGTACCTTTGATGCCCTTAGACCAAAGGCAGAAAGTATGACCTATATGCTCATCAAAGTATCTAAACATGGAATTGGAATCCATATAAAACACAATATAATATATATTTAGTTATATAAATATATATATATATATAATCATGTAAGTATATGATTGTATCTATACACATGCAAACACATATTTGTATGTTTATATGTGTACATACATGTAATAAGAAGAAATCATGAAAGCTGGTAAGGCAGTCATTTGGATGTTATTTAATGTTGGATGTCTCTTCTACTTTACAATCAATGTGCAATGTGCTGTGAATTTGAGGGTTACATGAATGGATCCAAAAGACTAAGTGTAAACATGGACACAGCAAGGTGTAGAAAGGTATTATTCCAGCCACTGGATATTTGTAGGAAATTCCCAGGTGTTCAGCAGACTTTTCACTTGCACAGGAAAATCTGGATGGCTATCACATTATCTTAATCAAATAATTATGGAAATATGTTTTTTTCTTCATTAGGAGATATCAGATGAATATATTCTTTGACTAACTTTTAAGCTGATATTTTAGTCTAAAACATCGGACTAATCCTGTTCATTAGGAGATATCAGATGAATATATACTTTGACTAACTTTTAAGCTGATTTTTTAGTCTAAAACATCTGTCTAATCCTGTTACTTTTCTTTCTTTCTTTCTTTATTATTTTTACCTTTTTCCACATTTATATTGCAGCACAGGTATGGACAATAAAGCTACCTTAAGGACCAATCAAATTACCCAAAGGCTTTGGCCAGTTTTTATTATGTCAACTATCCTGGCATCTAATATTGGCCCGGACCCTTCTAACAGAATCCCTCATTACTATGCGAATTTGGGACACAGTGTCAACCTTCCATGTCAGATTAATCCTGCTCTAGAGACAGAAGATCGTGTAGTGATTAAATGGCTGGTGAAAAGAGAACAAACTGAGAAACACACAGAGGAAAGCCTAATCTCCTATTTTGGTGAAAGAATATGTCACCATGAAGCATGTTTCCAAGGCAGAGTCCACTTTGCTCATTCAAATCCTCAAGATGGTGACGCTTCATTAATCATGAATAATGTGACATTTTCTGATTCAGGCATTTACCAATGTAATGTGGAACAATCATTTAGCATGGAACATAGGCAAATCCTGCTGACCGTGATGGAGAATGTATCCAAACCAATATGCACTCTTTACAATGACTTTGAAGAGGGCAAGAATCTCAAGGTTATGTGTAGAGTCTTTCATGGCCCTATTCCCTGGAGCTTCAACTGGGAAAAGACATCTGGAAATAGACTATTTCCTACAAATACAAAGCAAAAATATGGTTACTTAATTATACAACAAATTAAGAAAAGTGATTCAGGAACCTACCGTTGCACTGTTAGCAACCCCGTTAGTGCAGAGCACTGTGAAATAATAATCAACCCAAATTCTCAGTCGGTAGAGCCCACTGCAACGTTCTCACCAAACATATTGACTTCAGAACAATTAGGTCATACGACACATGACTCAGATAATGATACCTTCATGTCACTCGACGAAATATCAAGTACATTAGTCACTTCAGTCATGGCTAAAGAAGCAGGATTAAACCAAGAAAATCTGACACACTTGAGGAAAACGTCAGCAGATTTTGCAGCAATTACTGTCAATACTTTAATCATGGCAAAAGAAGAAAAAATTAGGCCAAGGAATCATACTGCAACTCAAATGACCTCATCTTCATATATGGTAGATAACAGAGTTAGTACTACAGACATGAAAAAACAAGATCGTACAGTCTCATCAATCACAGTCGCAGGAATCTCAATGGGCACACCAATATTAACACAAGAGAAAGGATTTGGCCATTTGAATCTACCTGAAACTGAAACTGCAACCATGGCAAAAGAAGATAGGTTAGGCCACACAAATCTGCCCACATTGGGGATCCTCTCGTCAACTAATGTTGAAGAAATCTCAGTGACTACAACAGTAGTGGCAAAAGGAAAGGGATTAGGCTATACAAACATACCTGGGATTGAAATGACCCCATCAAATGTGACAGATGTCAAAGTTAGTACAACAGACACAGCAAACAAAAATCGGTTAGACCGCTTCACTCTATCTGAGCTTGAGGTCAACTCATCAATTAAAGTAGCAGGAATCTCACTGGGCACACCAGTAATAACCAAAGAGAAAAAATTTGGCCATATGAATCTACCTGAAATTGAAATGCCCTCATCATCAAATGTGGCAAATGTTACTACAAACACAGCAAAAGAAGATGGGATAGGCCACATAAATCAACCGGAATGGGGGACCATCAAATCAATTAATGTTGAAGCAACCTCAGTGAATACACCACTCATGACAAAAGAAAAGGACTATGTGACTATGCCAAAAACTCAAAAGACCTCATCAAATGTGGCAGTTGTCAAAGTCAGCACAAAAGACACATCAAAAGAAAATCGATTGGGCCACTTGAATCTATCTGAGGTTGAGATTACCTCATCAATCCAAGTTGCAGGAATCTCAGTGGGCACACCAGTGAAAACCAAAGAAAAAGGATTTGGCCATATGAATACATCGGTAACTGAAACTACAACCATGGAAAAAGAAGACAGGTTAGGCCACACAAATCTGCCTAAATTGGGAATCGTCTCATCAAGTAAGGTTGAATCAACCTCAGGGAGTACACTAAACACAGCAAAAGAAAAGGCATTTGGTTATATGAACATACCTGGAATTCAAATGACCCCATCAAATGTGGCAGCTGTCAAGGTCAGTACAACAGACACAGCAAAAGAAAATTGGTTAGGCCACTTGAACCTAGCCAAAATGAAGGTCGTTTCATCAACAAATGTTGCACTAATATCAGTGGATAGAGCAGTCATGGCCAAAGAAAAAGAATTCGGGCATAGCAATGTACCTGAAGGAGGGGTCATTGGTACTAAAGACATGGAAATAGATGGTTGGTTAAGCCAAATAAATGTACCCAAATTGGTGGTCACCTCTTCAACTAATGTCACAGCAGTCTCAGCGGATAAACAAAACACAGCAAAAGGGAAAAGATTCGACCACACGAATGTCCCTGAAATTCAAATGACATCATCACCAAATGTCAAAGTCAGTACCACAGACATGGCAAAACAAGAGGAAATTGCCCATATTATTCCACCCGAATTAGAGATGAGTTCGTCAACTGTCTATCAACTTTCAACTATCAATGTTGCAACAATCTCACTGAATTCGCCATCTCTGGCCAATGAGGTGGTAACAGGCATCACAAACCTGTCAAAATCTCAAATCACACCATCACCAAATGCAGTGGGAGTTAGTACTCAAATTGCAAACAATGAAAAAGGATTAGGCCACATTAACCTAACAAAATCTCAGAACACACCTTCCCTGAACAAAACTGCATCAGCAGTGAAAGTGAAAGTGAAAGTAAGGGTATTGATAATACTGGTCGGAGTGGTAACCCCAATCACTGTCATCTTTATCATCATATGCATTGCTTACTGCTATAACAACAGATACTGTGGTGATGAAGTAGTAACAATAAAAAAACCTTCCTTCATTGTGAAACGAAGAAAAAGAAAAGCCCACAACATTGCAAAGGTAATAAAGCATTGCATGAGAGTAATGAATAAGACGTACTAGTAGTTTGTAAATGTACTGCTTTTAAAAGCTCGTCTCTTATTCATTGTAGAAATCAAATTTTTTTTTTAAAAACAGGTAGAAACTGGTGGTACGGTGTGGGTTAACGGGCTTGAAATGGACACTGGGAAAACAAAGGTATTGTAAAATGTATTGAATGTGGTTGAATTCACTGAAACATTCCAGTTTTTACTTTCTGAACTACTTTTTAAAAAAAATGTATTCTCATCTCCAGAATAACAGATTATTGAAAGGTGATTTTGATGACGAGAATAAGTACAATAAAGGACAGGAGAGCAGTTGTAAAGGTGATTGCAAAGGTGAGAAAATAGGGACTTTGAAGGATCAGAGGAGACTGTTTTTCTTTTTTCTTGTTTATATGTAAGTTAAGTAAAGCTAATCTGCCAAGATGTGAACTTAAGAACTTTATCATTTTTTTTAAAGGTATCAACATTTCCCCTGAGGTCTTCATCTAGGGCTGTCGACCAGCTTCTATAAGGTACATTTTGATTTGCTAATATTTTTTTTATCCAAAAGATTGACAAGTTAGGCATCATAATTTTAATCAAACGCCGAACTGCTGAGCTCCAACTCCCAAACAAACATTAAACAATGAGATCTGCTTAATAAAAGGCAACATTATTTGTTTTCAAATTTACAAAAAAAACAAAAAACTGGCCAATAGATTTACCAATGAAAGCTGTTCCACTTAATATTGCACCTGAACAAGGACACATATTTTTCTCTATGTAGTTGTAGTACACTGTGGACCAATTCAATGTTGATAAAAAAAACATTTCGTCTGTAGTACACTGTGGACCAATTCAATGTCGATAAAAAAAAGATTTCGTCTTCTCAAAGTTGACCTGGCATTTACATTAACATCATGTGGTTTAATGTATACAATATAAAATCACCTGCAGAAATATATGTATGTGGTAATGGTAATTACAAGCACATTTTTATTGGTTTATGTTTTACATTTATATTTTAACAAATGCAGGAGTTGATGACACTATTTTTAGGTATGTGTAAGATAGTCTGTCTATTTAAAGTTTGGCTCTTTAAATTTTTTTTCTCTTTTTTGCAGCTAAGGCATCTACCACCTGCAGTCCACTTAATGAGATGTACCGTAGGCGTAACCATTATTGGTTACGAAAAACCTAAGATACCTCAGAGTGACCCTTGACAGGACATTATTCTTTAAGGGACACCTGAAAGGAATATCAGGGACACCGACCCCTGATCTATATTGATAATCAAGGGACTGTATGCAGAATGCTGGTGCCAGCAAAATAAATATTGCCAGGAGCTCAATATTATTTCAATTCTGTCCTCTACAAGGGCAAAAAAAAAAAAAGGGAAACACCTTCTGTCCTCTACAAGGGCAAAAAAAAATTGGGAAACACTGTTTAAACACATCACCTTAGTGAGCAGGCAACACTTAACTTCCACCACTGCCCGGTATCAGTTAATATTGGAATCGGATTTTAAGTGTTTGGACAATATCGTCAAAAAGTTAAGGTACATCCATAGTTTTATATTAACATTTGTGTATGAACTGGGGTGTACGCAAACCATATTTATATAAATAAAAACAACTTTGTATACTGTCCATTAAAATTCACATTTTAAATGACTGTAGTAGTAGTATTAGGAATTCACTATAGAAGCCAAAAAAATTCATGGTCTTGCACAAAAAAAAAAATATGTACAATACCTCTATATAGTGGACTCCGAGATACGAGCTTGTTATGAGTCTGCAACTATTGCAGGATTTTCCCCCGTGATACGAGGAAATATCTAGTTGCGAGTGCTCAACTGAGGACTGGCATCCATTGAGTCATACGGCATGGGGAAGCCGTGCGCTCTGATGCCACAGCAGATGTCACAAACGTTTAGTGTTTAATAAAATAAAATATCCATCCACCCATCCATCCATTTTCGGCTTATCTGTTACCGAGTCGTGGGGACAGCAGTCTCGACGACCGCCACCCAAATCACACTGCACCGTACCAGCCCCTCGTGAACCTTCCTGCAGGTGGTGAATCCACTGGAAGGTACCAACCTCCCAACCTCTTGCACAGGAGCTGAACCTAGGGGTTCCATGCCAATGACAGAGACATTGCCTCTGGGCCTAAGCACCACTAAAATAAAATAATAATGAGAAGTGGAAGAATAAGAAACACTCCAGTAGAGTGAGAACATTTTTGTTCATTTGTTTCCAGTGGCATGACAGATAGTTTGATGAACGTGTAGAGAGTTGGAATAAAAGGGAAACGTAGAGACCGTAGCTCCAATGAGATGAAAGAAAAACAGACACCACTATTTCATTTATTTCTTTTAAATTATTATTTAATTTATTTTAATGCCTTCCGTCCGTCATCTGTTGGCGCTCATATCACTACACTGCTGTGACATGCTACGCTACTAGATGGCGGATCGCATTTGTGGTATAATGGGAGTCACGCGAACACAGGGAGAATAAATCCTGCTGTCATGATGGTAACACCAGCAAAAAGTGTTGTTAAGATATTGTAAATACATTTATTCAAATATTAACGATATATTCATTATATTAAATTCCCATATCAATTTATACTGTTTGTTTTTCAATGCTATACTAAAAGCAGAAGTACTGAAGAAAGGTGTGCATGCTGATGGTTTACAGTGGTGTATAGATGGCACTGACTGTTACTTGGAGATAGAGACAGGTCACAGAACCGGCCTGAACCAGTTTCTCTGCCCAAATAATGAGGAAAACAACATAAAAAAGGAAAATAATCCAAAGTGTATTTCTTTGATCTAACCTGAGTTACTGAGCAGAATAGCTCAGCACATGTACATGTTTTCTATTGGTGGAGAATCCTGGTTTGGAGTTTTTGCCAATCAGCGCTCAGAAGTGGTACGTGAACACCACATGGCTGTAAAGGGTTAAGCTACCGACCATTGATGTGTATGTGAAAAAACTGTATTTAAGCTCTGAGCACTGGGGAGTTCCTCAGTGCAGTTCTGAATGTAACCATTGTTCTGCACTCCTTGCTTGCAAGTAAAACTTTTAAAATTTGAGATCTCGTATTTGATTCTTTATTTGATCAGATCTTTATTTGATCTTTATTTGAATTCTTTGTGTGTTAGGAAACTGGGGTATGAAATAACAGCATTTTTTACACTCCTATCTAACAGAAAAAGTTTCCTGACAATTCCCATCACTGTCAATAAATGTCATTGTATGACATCATCAATACAGTTTTCTAGTATACTTGATGACATCAAGGCGTAGTACAATTTTGGCTTTGATGTGTAGAATGTCATGCAATTTTGGCTTTGATGTGTAGAATGTCGTAGAAGGTCAGTAATGTTAATTTGACAGAAAAGAAGACTACAAATAAGCCAGTGTTGATGATGCCTCAAGAAAAGTATTCAAAAGGCTTTCCAATTCACTGCACTGCTCACGGCACTGCTACATAGCATCAAAAAAGACAACCCTCCAGAAAAGACTAAGAATTATAGCAAAAAGGGATTCAGTTGTGAAAATATACAGTTACAACTAACTGGAAAAACAATAATTTACTCAGGAGAAGACAGTTATAAACATTGCAGATGCCAGCTGTGGTAAAACACAAACAACGGACCTCTGCTGGTTGTCAAAAAGGTAAAATGGGTTCATTAAATGCAGAGGCATTTTTGGCTAGAAAGAATGATATACTCCACAGCAGTATAACCTGTTACCAGATATTAGATTTTATTGGTGAAGGTCATTTTAGTAAAGTTGCCAAATGTGTTGACTTAAACACAGGCAAAATAGTGGCTCTAAAAATCTCCAAAACGAAAAGTAAGGTGAATGACCGTGAAGTTACTATATTAGAAACTGTAAGGGCTCTTGATCCACACAGAAATAATATCGTAAAATACTTTGATGGTTTTAGCTTTTTGGACCACTATTGTCTGGCCTTTGAAATACTGGACAAAAGGCTTTGTGATCTAATGCAGGAAAATAAGTCGCACCCACTAAGTCTAAGTGAAATTCGCTGCGTGACCCGCCAGATACTTGTAGCTTTTGAAGCTCTGAAAAGTATTGGCATCGTGCACTCAGATTTGAAACCTGACAACATAATGCTTGTCAACCACAAGGATCAGCCATTCAAAGTCAAGTTAATTGACTTTGGTCTGGCTCTTCCAGTAAGCCGATTGCACATAGGAATGAACATGCAGATTCTTGCCTTCAGGGCCCCTGAAGTAGTGTTGGGTCTCCCCTTGTCAGAGGCTGTTGATATGTGGGGAGTAGGATGCACTATGGCATTTATGTACTTTGGTAAGAGTCTTTTCCCATCTAAGTGTCCATATCATTGGATAAGAACTATTTTGCACTTGCTGGGTCAGCCAGATAATCACCAAATAACAAGTGGAAGATATAGCCTACAGTACTTTGTCTCGGATGAGCAAGCAAAATGGAGGTTAAGGACACCACTGCAATTCATGAAAGTCTCTGGATTTAGACCAGAGATTTCAAAGAGGTTTACTGACTTGGCCAGAGATTTTGAGGATCTAATTGCAAGAGGCAGAAAACAAACCTGTGATGACATTGAGGATAGACTGGCGTTTTTAGACCTTCTGAAACGTTGTTTGCATCTTAATAGTATACATAGAATATGTCCTAGTAAAGCCCTTGAGCACTGTTTTACAAGCCAGGTCAAACCGGTGGATGAAATGGAAATGGTTTCTACTGTAAATACAGAAATTGGTTTAGGAGCATCGTTTGGAGATTATTTTAATCAACTAACAGAGTCTCCCAAAATAGAACAACCCAGAACTCTGAGTAAACATGAAAGCAAACCTGTATCCTATGATGCAAATGTTTTCACAGATCAAACCTCTCAGAAAAAGTCATTTCAAAAGATTTTTGAAATTTACTCCAGACTGAAGCAAAATATATTGTGTAGATTACTCTGACAAACAATTTGAAGATGGTTAAATATTTTAAAGTTTTATACTTTTGTGGTTATTTCTTTTTTGTATTATTAATAAATATAGACCTAAGGTCAACCACCCATAACAATGAACAGTCCATAAAATAGGTCTGGAAAAGGCTGCAAGGGAAGTGGAATGGATTGAGACGAGTGTCAAAAGAAGTGTAGCAAAGGTGAAAGAATGGATTTAAAAGAGGAGTACAAAAAGTAGTTAGACCTGCTATAATTGTTTACATGTTATGGTTTAGAGACAGTGACTCTGTCTGATAGACAAAAGTCTGGGCTGGAGGTTTCAGAGATGGAGATGCTGAGATTTTCACTGGGAGTGACCAGGGTGGAAAGACATAGAAATGAGAGGATCAGGGTGTGTGAAAGGGACAAGGTGGAGCAGTTTAGAGATAAAGTTAGAGAGGAGGTATTGAGATGTTTTGAATATGTGCTGTGGAGACCTAGTGAATACATTGGACAAAGGATGATGGCGGTGCAAAGCAATAGAAAGATCTCAAAGATCTATAGCGGTTGCGAATGAGGACATAGGGAAAGTTGCCGTCTGTCAAATCATAGGAGGCAGAGTACGGGGTGAGATGGAGAGGCTGTAGTGATACCTAAAGGGAAGTACTGATAGAAGAATTAAGAGGATCTAAACAGTTTAAATTTCAGATATTAGTGTTTGAAGTGTTAAAGTGGTAGTGACTACTGACACTTCCAGTTTATTTATATTCCAGTTTATTTATATTCCTGAGATATTTGTATGCTCTATTTGTACCAATATATCATACTGTTGACACATGGTCTC